GATGCATCCCAGAAGCGTCACCTTCAGAGAACCTTGTGTAATGAATCAAATCAGGAAAATACTAAGTTCAGCGGTCAAGGTGCATTGCGTACTTGTTGTAAGTCTACAAGGTCATTGTAACTTGAGAAATCCCGATTCTCTGTCCGAAAATCCACCGTGAGTTTTGCGTGAATCCCGATCAAAAAGCCGATAACTTCGTCTTAGCATTGTGCTGTTAGCAGAACATGGTCACAGTGATTGGGAAAAATTAGGTTTCCGGTTATCCGGTCCTACCTACAGTTTACCGCAGTCCTTAGGTCTGACTTGCATGACTCAGGGTGCTACCACATTTCTTCGCTGTCTCTTCTTACATACAGTACCCCCTTCGCATCTATTGTTACTTTTCGCATTCGGACAACCCCCAGGTTGCATGAGGAAACATTCAATCAGAACAGTACAAGAACATTGAAGACCGAGCTCACTGCCGGTGGCAATTCCATGGTTAATACCATCATGTCAGAAAACACAGCATGTTACAAGCGTGCAAAACAACGTATTTGAAAAGAACAATCAAAATGCTAGTAACCATAGCAATACTGCACAAAGTAACACGCTCAGCCCTCCCATCATCACTTCTGCAGGATATGCATCAGCCTACATGCGCGTGCTTGAAGAATCCTGCTTTCAGTAGCCCTTTGTGCACCTCGCAATGCGAGATTGAAAAACAGCGTCTCGTGACAAGGAAGCGAGACAATAGTGAAACAGTACGCGCCTCTCGCGACAAAGACAACTTGTTGTCCACTTGTCTCCCCACGTCCTTCTCCTTTCTCCTTGACAGCACACGCCCGCAACCCTCGAATCGATCTCCAATAATCTCCTTTATCTGTGTTCTTTTGAGTGTGAGATTCCCTGGATGTGGCATTACTCATGCTCTAACGTTGAAACCATCCTTGTCAGGTGGCAGCAGGCTCACACTACTGGGATCCCCATAATGAATTCGTGGATACGTACTGTAGTCCTCGCATGCCGCATGCTTTTGGTATATCCAACCTTTTCCCCTCTGTGCCGTGGACTCATAAAAGAGACATCGTGTTGTATATCGACCTGATGTTGACCGTATTGCCGATATGTTGCTATCGTATCTCGGGCTGGTGTTGACCGTATCTTCTTTCTGCGATCGTGAATCCGGACTGGAATTTTCCGTGTTGTTGGTTTCGCGGCAGTGTGGGTGCTAGTCAGAAGCACATGCGAAATAATATCTTTCTTAGCAGGTTCTTGCGCATCGGTGGCATTGTCTTTTTATGCTAATGCTTGTGTTGCTCAACCCTTTTCTTCTATACCTTGTATGGTCAACTTTGCTAGCCCGTGAAGACGCTGTCTATTTTCAGAGCGTCTTGGTATCCTTGCTCCAGATTACGAGCCTTCTACTTGACGATCGGGTACACGAGCATACTGGCCAGGGGGCTTATTTAGCGTTTAATTCTCTAGAGAGTGACCGTTTTGAACCAGCGACGCCTGCTCGAGGTGTACCTGTAATCTTTCAAGTTGGATCTCTCTGTTTGTTCGCAGATGGACTTTAACCTTCAGTAAAGGCTCACAATTTGGTACATCCAACTCGCGATGTCGTCGTCATTGGCGAGGTTGGACCAATCGAACCAAGCTGCGTTGCGGTTGTTAATCAGCCATTGACAAGATTTTGTGAGCAAGCTGATGTCGTCAGATGTGATCACCTCTTCCTTGAAGGTCGCATTTGTGACAGGATTGATTTCTTCTCCAATTTTCCTCTTGAAGAAGACGTTCCCGTAGAAGTAGATGAAGGAGTCTTCGTTCATCATACGATTGCAGTTGTATCCGCCCGTACGCAACAAAACTTCATTTTCTGAGTCGGGGCAACGAAGCCACCCCAGATCTTGCCCGTGGTAAGAGCAGTCTCGTTTAAACGCTTCGCTACAGTTAGATGAGGGAGATCTTCTGGCAACTCGCCTAAAGTGAGGAGAAGTGTGGCAATGAATTCCCACCAGAGTTTTACACACTGCGTCTCTTTGAGTTGTGGCAAGTTAAACCACTGAGCTTTATGGTTTTCGATGAACCAGTTGCATGACCTTATGTAGAGCTCGACGTAGACTGGATCAAGTGCCTCGCGGTTTTGGAATGTTACTCTCAAACCGCATCGACCCCATGGTGATCGCGCCCATGAAGTTTTTGTTCTTGAGGAAGGGCAAGGGTCGGTCTTCAGAATCAATTAGGGGTACAGTCGAATGGCCCGGACGCTTCTAGGACCACGCGCATATTTGCAATATCCGTTTGTTGTGCGGAAATTCGCAAAGCGGGTGTGAACGGTCGCCAGGAAGCAGATTGGCCTGCTGGAGCGTCTGTCATGGTCAATTTTGTGTGAAAAGAGGGGAAAAGTAGCACCGTGCATACATGTTAAAACAAACGGTGGCGTGCAATTCACTGGATAAGTAGCCAGTCCCTGAGGCGGTACAGGTAGAGGGCCAGTACAAAGGCCAGCCATGGAGGACTCCAAGCCAGTGAGATGGTTGGCAGTTGTTCGAGAATCCGGGGCGTTTGGATCAGTAGCAAGGTGAGTTAAGGAAGAGTCCAGCCCAGTAGCTTGTCTGGATGTGATTGTTGACTTCGCCTGGGTCAAATTCGTCAATAATCCTGCCATCGCATACTCGAGGCCAGTCGTCTGATTGGCTGTCATATTCGCATTGCCCGCAGATTGGCTGGCAGATGGGTTCTCGGACTGTACTGCGCAAACACCCGATCCCTGCCCTGAAGTGGTAATAAAGCCTTGTGAAGGTCGCATTGTAGCACTACGGTAAAAAATTGTTTACTGTAGAATAGTACGCTAGGGGTTTACTATATAGGTGTAAACTGACCTTATGTATACCTGTAAATAGGTTTAAAGTAGTAGTTTACTTTTATTAAAGTAGTAGTTTACGTTTATTAAAGTAGTAGTTTACTTTTATTAAAGTAGTAGTTTACTTTTATAGTAGGGGTTTAAATTAAGTATAATAAGTAGTTTTATTTCTATTATACGCTATAATACCTAACTAAGACTAAAAGGGGTAGAGAAGATTAGCTTG